AAAGGTCCATCTAGCCCAATATCCTGTCTGCCAACAGTGGCCAATACCAGATGCCTCAGAGGGAAGGATCACAACAGGTAATCCTCACATGATCCCTCCCCTGTCACCAACCTCCAGAGAAACAGAGGCCAGGGATACCATTCCTACCCATTCTGGCTAATAGCCATTGATGGACCTAACCTCCATGAATCAATCTAGCTCTTTTTTGAACCCTGTTAAAGTTCTAGCCTTCACCACATCCTCTGGCAATGAGTTCCACAGGTTGACCAGTTTTCACGCTTACCCAGAGCTCTTCTGTGGACATTGTCCTCCACTTGCTCCCAGTCTGCTTCTGTTGTTCAATACTAAGGCCTTTTTCAGAACATCAGCAAGTCAGAATCTAGTTCAATCCATTGGTGACTGCATCTGCATCCATGACTTCCTGAGATGCCTACATTGTCTCGGAGAATTGTAGTTCAAGAAGCCAAGAAGAACTAATTGAGAGCCTAAGATTTGGGAGAATGCTACAATAAACTTCCATAGCAGATTAGATAAAGTGGAGTCTGAGCATTTTAGAGTATGTTGTAAGAGCCTGCTCTCCGTTAAAGCTTTCCTATCATGATCAGAATGTTGTTATAAACTATAATAGATACAAAACCTCACAGAGCTTGCAGTAACCAGGGAAGAGACAGAACCAGAGAAGTAATTGAAGTCTACTAGAGACATCTGCTATGTGGATCAATATGCCTGGCATGGCATACTACCAGGAAGAACACCTGTAGAAAATGGTTTAAGATGGAAGGTAGGCAGGAACAAAAGAAAAGAAGAAAAAAAACCCACATACAAAAAAGAACAGTCTTGACATTGTAAAATCTAAGTCATAATTGTACATATCAATGATTCCAATAGGACCTTCTATCTAAGGCTGTGTCCAGACTCAGGGGTTTTTTCGGGAAAAGTAGCCTTTTCCCGAAAAAACTTCCCCTGCGTCCAGACTCAAGCCACGTTCTTTCGAAATTATTTCGAAAGAACGCGGCTTTTCTTTCGATGGTGGTAAACCTCGTTTCAAAAGGAAGAACGCCTTCTTTCGAAAGTTCCTCTTTCGAAAGAAGGCGTTCTTCAATGTAAATAGGGCTTCCTCGAAAGAGAGCATCCAGACTCGCTGGGTGCTCTCTTTCGAAAAAGCGGATTGCTCTTTCGAAAGATCCGCCTGCAGTCTAGACGCGATCTTTTGAAAGAGGCTCTTTCGAAAGATGCTTTCGAAAGAGCCTCTTTCGAAAGAAGCCTGCAGTCTAGACATAGCCTAAGGGTCCATCATATTAAATGAACTATACTAATTGGAACTAAACTATGCCTCACAGCATCAAACACAGTGAGAGGCACAATGGCTTTTTGGCTTACCAAGCTTTCCAGTATAAAGGCCAAATAATTGTCTTCATAGTAATAGCCCCATTGAAGTCAGTGTGATGACTTGTATTAAGAAAATGAGCAGGATTTTGCCTCTTGTGTTCTTAAGGATATATGTTTTCCTTATAGTAATAAATGAAGTTTGCTGTTCTACATCTCCATAGGCTACACATAAGTATTTTTACAAATGCTATTTTTAAATTTTAATTTGACATTGTTTTAATTTCAGTCAATAGAAGTTTACAGACTAGCAGTAATGCAAGATGAAGACCTTTCCTGATATAAAATCCAATCAATGTATGTTCAAGTTTTACTTTTTGACAGTGGGATTATCAAAAGCCAAAGGCTGCGTCTAGACTGGCGTGATTTTTTGCGCCAAGTTTTTCCATTAAAAGTATTTGCGCAAGAGAGCTTCTATACTGGCATGTGCCTTTGCGCAAAAGATTTGCTTTTGCGCAAAAGCATCCGTTCCAGTGTAGACGCTCTCTTGCACAAGAAAGCTCCTATGGCCATTTTAACCATCGGGCTTTCTTGCGTAAGAAATTAACGTTGATGTCTACACTGGCCCTCTTGCTCAAGAATGCTTGCACAAGAGGGCTTATCCCTGAACAGGAGCATCAGAGTATTTGCGCAAGAACCACTGATTTTGTACATTACAAAGTCAGTGTTCTAGCACAAATACTCACTGCCAGTGTAGAGAGACGGCAAGATTTTGTGCAAAAGCATCTGCTTTTGCACAATATCATGCCAGTCTAGATGCTGCCAAAGTGTTAGTCAAGTCTGGCCCCATTGAAGTCAATCAGAATTGTAACATTTACTACAATGTGAATAAAGTTAGGCTAATGACAAGTGGGTGCTTTTGAAATTCCCACCCCTTTATATAATTTTCCTCTCTTCCAAGTGGATGACTTGAGTTCTCTTTAGCAGAAAATCAAAGATTCCTTGTTTTATCTGTTTGTCATTTTTAGGTTTCACCCTGTGAGTGCAAAATGTAGTAACAGTTATTTGTACTCAGTAAACAAATTTAATCAGCAATCAAAGTATATTCTATAGTCCAAAAATGAAAACTACATTATTGCAAGTCAAATGAACCTCTACAGAGTGTCATGCAAATGCCTCATGTAGCTATAAATGAAACTTTTGAAGTCATTATTTTTGTCTATGTGGAAGTCTTGTTTCTTATCTAATAAAGGAAAGAGAAATTATACATAAGAAGAATCAGACAGCCACAATCAACCATGTAATGCAATCACACAATATACAATTTAAAGCTGAATAAAATAAAGCCCTTAAAAAGCAGCCTGTAAAGTCTAAAATTAGTATTGGCATAAAGTCTAAAATTGGTATTAGACATGGCAAAGCAGGAATTGTGATAGAACAGATCAATAATTTCTCTCTTCTAGTATCTTGTGTCTATATCACACAATTGAAGGGGTGACTCTCCTCCCAGTACATGCATATAATGCACTTGGTCACTTGTGCAGCACTGTTATAATGCTGTGGAGGACATTTTTTCCTGAGTCCAGTTGCTGATCAACCTATATCTTGAAGCATAGGACTTGATGATGGTCATGTCATTTTTATCATACCTAATGTAATTGCAAGTATCAGAGGGGTAGCCGTGTTAGTCTGAATCTGCAAAAGCGACGAGGAGTCCTGTGGCACCTTATAGACTAACTGAAGTGTAGGAGCATAAGCTTTCGTGGGCAAACACCCACTTCGTCAGATGCATGTAGTGGAAATTTCCAGAGGCAGGAATAAATATGCAGGCCGTAATTGCAGATTCTCTTCTTACAGCAAGACTTTATGTAATGACCATGGGGCAGTGCTCCGAGAATGGTGATGAATGTAGTATGCATGCTTAGATATACAGCTAGAAAAAACTACAAGAAGTAATTTAAAACTTTCCTTGATCATTTCTATCGAAGCAGCTTGTGAGGCCAACCTGCTACAAAATATAACCAGTGGCCAGATTAGTTAGGAAAGAAGAGTGGCGGGGGATCTCTTTGGGCACGTCTACACTGCAGGCTTCTTGCACAAAAATGGCTGTTCTTGTGCAAAAACTTGTGGAGCATCCACACTACAAGCCCATTCTTGCGCAAGAAAGTTTACAGTAGAGCATCAGAAGAGAGGGCTATTTGTGGAAGAATTATTCCTCTCACCACGAGGAATACACCTTTTTTGCGCAAGAACTCTTCACAAAAAGGCTACTGTGGACGGGAACAGGGGTTTCTTGCGCAAGAAACCCCTATGGCTAAAATGGCCATCTGAGCTTTCTTACACAAGAGAGCATCCACACTGCCATGGATGGTCTTGTGCAAAAGCACATCTCTTGCGCAAAAGCACATGGCAGTGTGGACGTGCTCTTGTGCAAGAACTTTTTCAAAAGAACTCTTGCACAAAAAGTTCTTGCGCAAGAAGCCTGAAGTATAGACATAGCCTTTATGTTTCAGCCAAATCCTAAGATAGGTATATATGGGAATATATGTTTCTGCATGAATTAACATCTTTGAACTGAAGAGGCACAGTCTGGCCAGCACTGGAAATAGAACGGAGGGAAATACAGTTTTGTTCTTGAGACAAATAATTAAAATATGTAAGATCAAATTTGTATTTAGTGTGAATCAATATAGTTCTAATTGACTTCATTGTAGCTATACTGATTTACACTAGCTGAAGAGCTAACCTTTATGCTGTGTACTGTGCATATTTTTTGTAAGTCTGTTATGTTGGTGAAACTTAGCTATGCCTGTTAGGCTATGTCTACACAGCAGTATTATTTCGAAATAACATAGTCTGCGTCTACACTGCTGACAGTTATTTCAACATAATGTTGAAATACTGTCAAGCTGAAGAACTTCTTGCTCCAATTCCTGTAACCCTGATTTTATGAGATGTAAGGAGAGTCAGAGGAAGAGTGTTCTACTTAGAAATAAGTGTAGTGTAGACAGCACCAAAACTCGAAATAAGCTATTTTGAAATAAGCTACGCAATTCACATAGCTCAATTTGCATAGCTTATTTTGAGTTAAGCCCTGAAGTGTAAATATGCCCTTACAGTCCTGTATTATAGGTTCATAGTTACAAAAATAAAATCTGCAGAGGATTATCCTACCATAAGAGTTACAAACAGGGCACAAACACTATTGTATTCCTTTTTCTATTAGAACACCAAACTGTACACATTTTTAAAAATATACAATTCTTCTCCTTTTGTCTTTTCCCAGAATATAATAACCTGAATTAAAAGTATTCTATAAAATAGCTCTTCACTGTCTTTCCTTAATGTTTTGACTTCTGATTTGTTTTTCAACTCTGTACTTTTGTTCTTGCTTTTTAAACATGGGCTTTTTTTAGAGCTTGATCCCATTTGCTCTTTCATTTTCTCTGTTTTACCCAAGTGTTTTGCGTTTTACTAATATTCTGATCCTTTTTTTGATTGCATGCTAGCTATCTCTCATATGCAACAGCCAAAAGATCACAGGCATATAAAAGCTTTCCAGGGTTGAAGAATGGCTTAGGAGAACATGTTTGATCTTCTCTACTTTCTGTGTCAACTAATTGTTTCCTAATGATCCTAGGACTGTGTAAAGATCACAAAAAGAAACTAAATATTATAAAGAAACCAGAGTCTCAACTGGGTCCTAAATATTCATGTTTACTAAATATGTACAAACATGCAAGGTCATGCAGAAGAATACCTGTATAGTGCTGCTCTGACTAGTTTCTGAAAAGATACAATGCAGTGAACTTTGCTAGAGGGCTCTAAAACTTAGCTTCTTTGCTGGTTGTGAGCTCACAATGGTATTTCAATAAATGAGTCGTGAATGGCTAAGCCAGGCTATTAAAGAGAAGGCAAAAAGAGAGGAGGGGGAAGGAAGAAAAGAAATAAGGTGTAGAAGAAAAAGAGACCAAAAGCAGGGACTGAAATTTTGCATTCTAGGAGGTAATCCAGATATAGCAAAAGCTATCGACACTATCATCTCCAGCCCATTCTGCTCAGGGTATTGTTACATTTTGGGATAATCCCAGGTGCCTCAGAATTCTCTGAAGCTGTAGCTCTCTTTTCTGAACACTTCCAGTCATCATACAAGCACACACTGAGTATCTTGTAAGCAGCTCTGTCTCAACAGTTCTGATTCCAGGAGCATGTGTGTTACACCTGGGAAGATGTCACCAGTAGCAAATGTCCTCAAAACCATGTGCAATGCAATGTCCAGTCCTCCCCTAGACCATTCAGAGAGAGAGTCAGGTTCATTTTTGCTTTAAAGATTCAATACTCAGCAGTTTTCCACATTAATTGGAATTAAAAGTACACGTTAAATCAAGCACCGCATTAGGTTGCTTTGGATTAAAACAAGGCCCTTAAGAAAAGGAGATGGGGTTTTAAATGAATCCAAGTGTAAGAATAAAGTTGTAAATGATTACCTGCAAGTAAGTAAAAAGGCTTTCTAGAGCCTGGTTTAGCAAAGCGAACGCTAGGTTTGTTAAAGCTAATTTCCTTGCCAATTTACCTGCCAGGAAAATGACTGGTCTCTCCTCTGTCAGGCTCTCACACAAAGTGCTCTGTTCTTTTGTTGCCTTCAGTGAAAGGGAACTTGTGGTTCTCTGTCCCCTTCTATTATAGCCCATTGAACCTTTAATGTGTGTTCTTCTTTAGGTTACCTCCCAAAATAATGTTTGTGGAAGCTGTGAGTAAGGTGACATGGAATCTGGTGTTGAAGGAAATTCTATGCTGGTGTTTTTACAATTTCCTCCCTTGGTGGTGGTGCTGAGTGTTTGTCTCTTCCCTTTGTTTGCTTGATGGCCCTGTTACCTTCTTCTTAAATTGAATTCCTAATGTCTCATTGTACCCTGAAAATACTTTTCGGGTGGCAGAATAACATTCCTTTGACTAGGGTGGGATAACTTCACCCTCTCCTGGCAGACATATTGGAACTTGTTATCAAAGTGTATCTGTGACCTTAAATTTGACCTTCATACATATACACACACAATAATATTCATGATCAGTATGTTAACTTTCTGTTGATATCTTGCATATCATTAAACTGTTTCTAGAAGGTATCATTAGTAAGTTGGGTACACCCAACTAGTCAGGGCAGCTGAAACTTACTTGCCAATATCAATGAGCTCCTTGGCTGTGTCCAGACTCCATGCCTCCGTCGACGGAGGCATGTAGATTAGCCAGCTCGGAAGAGGGAAATGAAGCCGCGATTATTTTAATCGCGGCTTCATTTCCCTCTTCCGAGCTGGCTAATCTACATGCCTCCGTCGACGGAGGCATGTAGATTAGCCAGCTCGGAAGAGGGAAATGAAGCCGCGATTATTTTAATCGCGGCTTCATTTCCCTCTTCCGAGCTGGCTAATCTACATGCCTCCGTCGACGGAGGCATGTAGATTAGCCAGCTCGGAAGAGGGAAATGAAGCCGCGATTATTTTAATCGCGGCTTCATTTCCCTCTTCCGAGCTGGCTAATCTACATGCCTCCGTCGACGGAGGCATGGAGTCTGGACACAGCCCTAGTCCTCTTGCATTAGGGTGCTTCTAGAGTCACATACATTGATCAGGACAGTGAAAGCCCAATAGTATAATGGTGGTTCCTGGACTTTCCAGGAGACAGTGGGGTTGCCACTGGAAACCACACACAAGAAAACCTTTCCTCAGGCAGCCCTAAGTGTGAAGTTCACACCTTTCAATCCAATTTTTCCCATGGACAATCCATATTCAAAGAAACTGTGGTAATCTCATGCCATTTGCATTTACCAGCCTCAATATTTTTGGATAATTCAAATGTAAATATTTCTTTCCACTTCTAGAATCTTTTTTTATCGATTTGTTTTCTGTTTCTCCATATGCATTTGTCCAGGCAGCATGTAGAGAAGTAGATGAATGCCCCTTAACATGCAGTGCTTAGAGTTAACATGTAAAATCCAGGACCCATAAGTCTGTGCTCAATCCACACAGAGTGCTACAACAAAACTGTGTAGGTATCTTTATTTCAGTTTCTTATGCTTCCATAGAAATTCTCTCAACCATTGTTCCAGATCACATAGAAGCTCTTCAGGTTTATTTCATGACTCATGCAGAAGCATTAACCTCCTGACTTTGTCATTAGAGAAAGAGGCAGTTGGTTTTAATTTGCATTTTAAAATATTTTGTTCACAATAATTCATCAAGTATTTTGACGTGTATACAACTTAGTTATAGTAATATATATTGGTATAACACTTGTGGTCATATCTACTAAATATGGGGCTTGATCCTTTTTCCATTGAAGCCAGTCAGTATGTTAGCACAGAGCACAGCGACACTAGGTTCAGCCTCATAGTAGGAACCTTTCAGATACTGCTCCAGAGAAGAGGTTTGAGGAAGGCAATCTTTTTTAATCCTTAGCTCCTATGCCTCGTACATATGAGGCAATCCAGTTCCTCTATTGATTATAGTCCTTGCTAGTGGTGGTACCAAGGTGATGCCAATATATTCACTATCCTCTACTATTGTCTTTCACCAATTCTTTTTTGGCCTTCCTTGCTTTCTTTTTTATCCCTGGGGTCCCAGGTCTCTCATCTTCCAGAATATGCATGTCCCAGACACCTGAATAGTAATAGAAATATAGCCGTGTTAGTCTGGTGTAGCTGAAGCAAAATACAGGACTATGTAAATACATAGTCCTGTATTTTGCTCCAGACACCTGAGTATTCTTTTTTTGATATTTTCTAATGTGTCCTGCTCAGCTTCCTTACTCTCACATTTATATTTGACTTTCCATGAAGTTGGTAGTATCTTCCTTAGCCATCTGTGATGGGCTGCCTACAATCTCTTTTTATTAGTGCCTGTCATTGGCCAAGACTCTGGTCTGTACAGTAGCATGCTCAATGCTATAACAAATGAATTTAAAACACAGAGGACATTCAAAACTGTAAACCAATTCTTAACAGGTCAGTATTTTTGGATCAGTAATTTATATGTCCAGGGAAGCTTGGACAATGTGTAAAATGAGTTTTTAACTGAAGGGCTCTATGTCTGCCTCTGTCATGCAGCTGAGTTCACTGATGCACAAAGTGAAGTCACTTCTCCAAGGACTCACACAGTGCATTGGCTACGGTTCAGATAGTATTACAAGATGCTACAGTTGGCTTCTGTTATTTTGTTCTGTAACTATTCTGCCCAGTGGCCTCCATACTGTTTCCAAAGTACAAGCAGATTTCTGCTACTACAGAAAGTCCATCATTGCTCTGCAGAAGACATTTTTCTTAAATGCACAGAAGTCACAACAGTAATTGTTTCAGTTTATAAGTTTCCACGATGGGCCCTTTTGAAAGGTTCTAATGTAGATGGGTGTAATTGACTAAAATAGGATTCAGCTGCCCAGAATTGTATTTTTATGCAAAATGTATACCATTGTGTGAGGGGAGTAAGAACCAAATGCTTCAGTTTCTAAGCAGCATACATTCCATATATGATCCATATTTATTTTTACTTTATTCACAGTATTTCCTTTATACAACATATCTCATCTTGAGCTGTTAGGTTTTTGGATTAAGGTATTTTATCCATTAGTAGGAGAGTTCACATATTCATTACAATAGGTCTCACCTCTTCTATAGCTTACTGGAGGTAGAACCAGATGTATCAATTTAGGTGGGCTGGGAGTGTTCACACCCTTTAAGACCCAACCAGATTAATTGGCCTCTCTCAGCTGTAGAAAGGCTTTAGCAAACCACCTGCTTGGCTTGGAGCAATGAGAAAACTGAAAGGAGCCTTTTTCATCCTCACTGTTCAGTTTATTGAATTCTAGGTGGTTCTGTTATTAAGCTGCAGGGGCTTTCCAAAAAGATTGCTGAAAGCCCTCTTCTGATACTAATATTCAACTCTACACCAGTAGAGAGGAATCCTTCCTGAGACCTAAATCTTGTACTGAACCACCTGACTAAGCATCCTTTATCTAATTATATGTGAAAATGTCTTTTCTGCTATTGGGGAAGTCTGCAGATTCAGCCCATGATGCACAGTGTTCTGTGGAACACTGAAGTGTCACATTTTCCATAATTTTCTTCATAGGCACTGCATGTGCATGTGCAACATATGTCTTCCACTGTCTGAGGTGAAATTTGATAATTTATATACATTTATTTAGTTGTTTGTTATCTAACTTGAAGTTGTCTTCCAATACTGCCTGTGACGGGGCGAGGCAGCCCCGCACTGAACCTACAGGGCCCAGCCAGGGTTACCTGGCTGCAGAGGCCCCTCCCCCACAGCTCTACTAAGCATGCCCGGGCTGCAGCAGGGCTATAAAAGCCTGGGGAAAGACTCAGTCTGGAGAGATGACCGGAGGAGAAGGACCAGGGCAGGGCAGGGAAGGGAAGGGAAGGGAGCGGAGCGGAGCGCCGCGCCGCGCCCTCTCAGCTGTTGCTGGGAACGCCAGGAGAGGTGGAAAAGGACGTGGAGGCGAGTTGGGGCAACCCCGGGACTACCGAGCGAGGGGACGCTGGCATGGAGCTCGCAGCCAGCTGGGCGGGTACAGGGGAAGGCACCTCTGGGGACTAGGTAGGAAGTGGCCCAGGGCAGGAGCGGGAGCTGCCTCTCCTGCCCAGAGAACCTCGGTGTGTTTCGGCCAGACTGCCCCACTGAGGGAGTGACCCGTTACCTGGTCGCTCACAGGGCCCTGGGCTGGGACCCGGTGGAGTAGGGTGGGCCTGGGTCCCCCTACTCGGGGGTGTGCCCCGCTATAACCCCTGAACTACATTGTGGACTCAGGCCGGAGGGCCTTGGCCTTGTTTAAAGGGCCAGCTACAAACTGCATCGTAGCGGTGTTGGGGACTCAGGCGGGAGGGGCCCGCCACACTGCCCTTGGAGTTATTTCTAGAAAGCTTTCTTCAGTTTATATGGAACACTGGAGTTCTTGGTTCCTGTGTTACATTTGACATGAATTGGTATTAGTTGTAAGACTTTTGCTACTGAAAAATACATGTTTGGCAAAACATTTCAGAATTAATGACAGGCAGGTATTTTATCATAGTAAAAATTAGTAAAAAGGCAAAAAATAAGTTTCAAAAGCTTGGTTGACAGGTTAATCTCTTCAGTGATGCTCTTCAGCACATATAATCCTTTCATTTCTCACTATATTCACAGATGTCTCCAGTATTTTATTTTCAGTGCTCCCAAATGTATCCTTAAATTAGAAAGGCACAGAGCACCGCCAATGAGAACTGAGGATTTTTACCCCATTCTTTAGAAGACCTTAGAATCTCATAGAACTGGGCCCAATTTTTATGTCTTCTAAATCGGGCTTCTCCCCAAATTTTCTTTTGGTCTCAGTGTTCCAAGTAATATCCTCCTTTTCCACCAGCAAATGTGTTTTGTGTGTATTTAGGTCTCTTGAAGATTGAGAAACTAACAGTTCCAGCTTTCTATAAGGCAAGTATGGACATGGTTGTGTGTTTATCAGCCTGGTGGCTTCACTTCTAAGAAGGCCATTACCCATCAGTTACTCTGCTAATACAATTAACTTTTTATATCTGATCTTAATTTCAGCTAAAATAAAATTGAATACAACATTGATTTCAGATTATGCCTGGCTATAGGCAAATCACAGTCCCCTTTGGAGATCTGTTTACCTCTAATGTGGAAGTGGCTTATAGGCACTCAAAATCTTTATATGGAATATGAAGTGTGTCACTTTCATATTTCACCCAAGTTAATTCGTCATTTAATTTTTTTAAGATCCATCTTTATGGGAAATTATGGCCCTATATGCTATTCATGAAAGCTATGTCTAAACTGATTGAGATCTTTTGTTTGATAGCATTTTTTACTACACTTTAGCACGCACTTAATTCAGGTGGATTCCGTGCAGCGTTGGATGGAGGACTTGAAGTTGATGACAGATTGCGAATGTATGTGTGTTCTTCAGTCCAAACCAATCAGCGCAGAGGAGGATGCACAGAGTGATCTTATCCTTTCATCACCACATAGTGCATATGGTAACTTGCAGTTACTGTTAAAAAGAGCTTGGATTATAAGCACGGAATTGACCAGGATTTCTCAAAAGCTGGAGAAGAACAGATGGCAGAGAGTTCATGGCATGACACTGAGAGTCAATTGTCACATACGTTCAATGATAAATGAATGTACTAGCTTCACTAGAAATTCCTCAGAAGAAATGCACCAGGTAGGATTATTTCTTCAATATTAATTTGCTTGTCAATTTGAATTTGTTTAGAATGTTGGAGCTGATCAGATGTTGCCTGCACCAGTAATTTTTTTAAAATGACAATAGTGGCAACTCCATTCTTAGCAGCGTGACTCCATATCTCAGAACCATATAGTCACGTGGTGGTTAGGTCACCGTGGTTTTGTAGATCTGGTTCTGCCATCTTTACTTATGTTGAATAGTTTACTCCATGTTTACTACTGAAATTCAGTCTTTTCTTCAGTTAAAATGTAGAAAATGTTTTTGAGACTGGGACTGTCCTAACTCCTTTTTTTTTTAAAATCTCCATTATAATCAGATTCCAATAAAAAGGGAAATTGAAAAAATGGTGGTTACATAAAATATCAAACTTTTTCTAATTACTCTAATCAAATGTTTTTTCTTAATGAATGTATAGATCTTCATGTGTGGATGGATCCATTATTTTAAACACTTTTTTTGGCCTCTTTTTCTTCCCCTTGCAGATTGAAAAGCTTTTAATTGAAAAATGTTCAGAATTTACAGCAGTCACGGAAAGGTAACTTACATTTCCTGATTCGGATAGTCAGTTTTACTTTGAAATTATTTGTTACAAGCTGTGGTAGTTTTAATGAGGGAGGAAAATCCAACTAACACTCTTTGAACCTCTAAGGGTATGTCTACACTACAAAGTTAATTCGAACTAACAGACGTTAGTTCGAATTAACTTTCATAGGCCCTACACTAGCGCTCCGCTAGTTCGAACTTAATTCGAACCAGCGGAGCACTTAGTTCGAACTAGGTAAACCTCATTGCACGAGGACTAAGCCTAGTTCGAACATACTAGTTCGCATTAAGGGCTGTATAGCCCCTTAATTCGAACTAGTGGGAGGCTAGCCCTCCCCAGCTTTCCCTGGTGGCCACTTTGGGCACCACCAGGGAAACTCGAATGCTCCCTCCCGGCCCCAGAGCCCTTAAAAGGGGCACGGGTTGGCTACGGTGCCCGTGCCAGGGGCAAGACTGCCAGCACCCAGCCAGCAGACCCTGAACCTGGCACGGATCGAGCCAACCACCCGA